ATGAAAGCTTTATTTGTTGCAGATCACAAAGAAATATGCAGCATTACACTCAAAGAGTGGTCTTTGCCTTGCCATCAGTGACATAACCAAATAATTAAAATTAAAGCTATAATGAAGCATTCATAGGAACTGTTGGCTTCAGGGGTTGATTCCTACTAATGTGATGTTCCAGTAAGAGTTATCCTAAGGTATTATTAATATTTTTATTATTTGCAGCAAGCCAATAAATAAATACTTTCTTTAGTTAAAATTTTGTCATTTTAGGCAGATCCTGAAGTCCAACAGTTCTGCAAAACAAAGAAATTTTTTTATAAAATTCTCTCTCCTGTTCTCTCTTCAGTAAAAAATGTACCAGAATATTGCAGATAGCATGGAATAGTGCTTAAACTATTAGCTCTGTGTCTGAGAAGTCCATTTGTCTTGTTAAGGCTGTCGTACTACATTACCCTTTCTGTAACCCTGGAAACAACTTCAAATACTGTGATATTTGAAAAGTCTAAAATACAACTTGCCCTTAAAATGCTGTGAGTGTTTTTTGAGACTCCCTGTACAAGGGAAGAAAAAAATCTTTTCCTATTACAGAGGGCATTAAGCAATGATGGTTGTGCATTTCTTTGTGAGAAAGCTGATCCTTACCCTTTGTAGGGGGGATGAAAAACAATGCTAGCAGCACTGACAAGTGTCCTGTCTCTTTACCCGCCCATAGAGTTCAGGAATCCTCCTCTCCAAGCATTGCAGGAGAGGATTTTCAGGGGGCAATAAATAAATTTTGATCCCTCTGGTTAATACAGTTAAGGTCAAAGCGATTCTATCTGGAGCTATTTAAAATACTCTTAACATGCAGACATACTGCTGTCAGTAGTGCTAAGTGCCTTATCTTGCTGAGGAGTGTATATAACCCTTATGAAACTATTCTTAAGTATTCTGGTTACTATATTTAGCTCTGGCTCATAACAAGACAAAAAGCACTTAGCTAAATGTAGGCCTTGGGTGCTTAATCCGGTTAAGAATATTTTGTCCTTAGGTGTCTTCTACTAAGACTTTTTGTAGCTCACCATCCTGCTGCATCATGCAAAAAGCTTCTCTGTGTGTTTGGGCCTGTGAATTCTTTTATGATCATTTATTCTGTTAAAGCCTCAAAGTCTATTATTGGCTGAGGACATTTCTCATGTTCGTTGGGGGTATCCCACTGGGACTGACCTGGGAAGACTCGTTCCTCTGCCCCTTGCAGCTCACATCAGCCGTACTGTAGTGGGATGTGATAGCTGCTGCTGGAGACTGGAGAATCCGGGCTTCATTTCCCAATTTAGACTCAGTGAGCATTAACTGGACTGTTGTCTCTCTCAGTGGCCAAACAGCTTCCCTCGACTTACTGCTACTCAAGCTGGCTGGGAGGGCAACCATGTGCACAAGGCAGAAAATCTGTGAGGCTTTCCGGGAGTTTTCAATTGTTAGACAACCTACGGGCAAGGCAGTGTGAAGGTTTCTGCATAAAGTATTGCACTCCAAGCTCGGGAAGAATCCTTCTGTTTGGCTGAATTTTTGCATACTCAAGCACATACAGAAAAAATGTTGCCTGAAAAATTGTGGTAGATCTGTTTGTGTATTCACAAGCATTTTTTATAATTTAACCCATTGCTTTAAAGAGAATTTTCTTTATACCGGTAAATCTCTGAAATTGTTAGAAGTCAGCAAGACTTTGTATGGGTCGTTCTTCTAGAGGAGAAACAACTGTATGATTTTGATAAAACACCACTGACCAATGAGCAGCAAGTGACGAAGATAAGCACCTCAGTTCTATGGTAGCTTAACAGGGTAACAAATAAGATCACATGCTCTTTTTGAACTAGGATAAAAGCTTGTAACTTGACCAGCATATGATGACTGTGAGAACAGAAGCATAGCAGATCCACCGTGTTTAAACTTGCTATGCAGGTGTTTTCAGTTGCAGTTTCACTAAGGATATCAGGAGTTGAGTGAGATTTTTCCCTGGAAGTTCATGTTCCAAACTGAAAATGATCACTTCTGTGTTTTTTATTGATTCACTGCTGAAACACATTAGGTATTTTATATGTTACTCTTGTACTTCTGTTGTGTTGGGAGGTTCAAGCCTCTTCCAGGTAACTCCCATAATACTGTTTATGACTGTATCACACTTTATCTGAGCCAATTTTTTTGAGCAAATGGGCTGACATAATTTCATTTAACTGCAATGAGCAGGAATTTGGCCCGTTGTCTCACATTACTCATGTAAACGTCCCCTACAAAGCACTCTCCCCATATCACTGGTCAGGATCTGTGTTGCTCATGGTGTTTAGCAGCAGCCCCACAATGTCAGCCCCTACCCCGCCCCAGCTGCCCTTTCCAGCCTGCCTGCCTGACGTGTGTCTCTTGCAGTCATTCTTCAGCCACCTTCTTGTGTTTCCTTCCTCTTCCTTTCACTAGTTGGAGAAACAAATAAGTTCTTTTTAGTCCTTTAGATGATAAAAAGTCGGGGGGTATGTTTGCTCATTTACCATGGTTACAAATATGTAATCCCTGATAGTGGCAGGGAGTTTTTTGCAGAGCTGATGTTGAAACTAATGGTAACAGGAGAAACAGCCATGAACTTGGGGTCAAAACGGTGAGGTCACGTCAAGGACATTAAAAGCTTGTTAAATTTGGAAGCCCACCACTTGGCTGTTGTTGAAGATATCACTGTCAGTCATGGACAGTCTGGTTGCATCGGTGTCCTTCCCGAGAATGAGGCTCATCTGAAGCCAAACAAGTTTCAACAGCGATGGTTTCAGAGAGATGAGCGCTGTGGTGTGGCTATAGTCAAGACTTCAGAGTGTTCATTATTAACCGTTTAAATCGCAAACAAAAAGGAGACGTTTGTGTCCTGTCAGTACCAAATGTTAATGGGAGGCCTTAAATCCATCCACAGGTGGGTGGTTGTGGCTTGGGCTGATTATACCTGATCATGTTCGTCTCGAAGGAGGTGTTTGGTTGCAAGATTGGATAGGTGAAGTATGGATCATACTCACTGGTTTTCATAGCACACATGCCAGGTAAACCGTCATACTTTGGAAGGACTCTGATCGATCCTCAGTGGCCCTAACCTACTAGGGCCATTCCTCCACTCTGCTGGGCTACATGGCTTTTTGGACACAAGAGCTCAAGCTGGTCTTCCCAGGTTGCTTCTGTGGCAGCAGGTGATGCACACAGAGCCAGGAGCCCCAGAACGTGGTCCAGCTCCCATTCCTGGGGGTTTTGCTGAGCTTTCACCAGTTACACTTGAATATGTTTCTAATTATGGTGGTAGACTTTTTCAGCTTGAAGTGATTGCTGCTAAGCTAAGTCTTGCTTGCAACTGTCTTTTAACTGAATTTGCTTTTCCTTCCAGGATTAATTTTTCTCCATCTCTATTTACATGGTGATAAGAAGTGCTAATCCCACTCCGTCAGTCTGGACTGATGAATCTGAGGAATAGAACAGGTAAGTTCTAATTCAGCTCTTAGCTTTTAGTGACTCAGGCAGTGAGAACCACTCCCTTCCCATGGAATGCGTTCATGTTTTGGGACAAAAGAAATCATACAGTTTCTTCTGCCCAGGTCATCTGCAGGAAAGGAAGGGTAAATTTTTGTAGCTTTTACTGTGAGCGGCATCTTTGATTTCCTGTCAATTGTGGGTAGTTCTATTTCATGTTACTTTTATAGCCACCAAGTCGTTTGAGCTTGGAGTAGTCTCAGAGCAGGGAAAAACAATTGGATGCACCCATTGAAAAATGTCCCTTGGGTGCCAGGCAGGGTGGGAGGCTTTTGACAGAGAAAGTGCTCACTAAAGATGGAGGCAGAATGGTGCTGATGCCAGGGACAGGTGCAGTTTCCTCTTTGGACGTGTCTGAGGTGGGTGCAACCCAGCGGAGCTGACCGGGGTGATGCATCGTGGAGTGATGGCAGCTGGCTTGCTTGGATCTGCCTGGCTCCCCGTCCCTCGGACTTAGCCCATCTGAGTCAGAGAAAGCAGTGTGAAGAAGTTACCCTCACGTTGAATTTTCCATCATTTCATGGGACTTGAGAGTACCATGTCTTCACTGGGAGTTGTTGCCAACTGTTCTGCATACCTGTGCTGCAGGAACAGTTAAGATAAAGTAGGGACAGCAGCCCACAGTGACTGTTCTGGTGCAGGAATATATGAAACCCGGGAAACCCAGGTCACATTCCCTTCTTTTGGCTGGTTAGTGCCAGATGAAGAAGTTTTGGCTTGAAGTCTTGGGTATGAATCCCAGTGGTAGGATGCAGCTCAGATCATGTAGTGGAAGTCCACCAGTGCAAGCAGCAGTCATTGGCTACAGGGTGCTTTGGATGAACCTGTCTATCATATCATCTCTTAAATGTCCTGATAGTACCCTGCTGTGGCCTAATACTAATCCTTTGGGGGCTTAGCATAGTTTCCTTCTTCCTCGTATGCCCTTCTGCTGGGAAAGAAAACTCAGGTCCTTTTCGAGCATTGCAGTGCTTGAAATCAACCAGCAGCCCGCTTGACTTCCCAAAACAGGACCAGGTGCAGTGCTGCGTGGTACAAACATCAGAGTCAAACCGGCTGTCACATTTGCAAGGAAGATGCTGATTCCTGTGCAGATTTGCAGAGGAGATAGGAATTCCTGCGCAGAGTTCAGTGCTTTGGTAGGGTTCCCCATCCTGTGGCAGAGGGGAGTGCAAAGGCAGGCTGAGGGGCCTTTCCCTTAGCTCTGTCCCTCTAAAGTCACGCTTATTGTAGCTGTATGTTTTCGCATATAGCAAGGGTTTCGCTTCTCAAGCCTTAGCAGCTGACAGAACAAGCAAGAAACTACATAACAAGAGTCGAGTTTAGGAAAGGGAAGATTGAAACACCCAGGAGGTCATACAGTACAAACCAGTAAGCTCCATATTCTGACATCCTCCATAAGATTAGGGAATATGTCTCAGTAAGAACTTCTGTCTTTTCCTTCCAGAGCCCTGTGTTGTGTAAACGAACTGATGGATGAAGATGAGAAGGACAGGGCAAAGAGGTATGAAGGGGTGCACAGAGCACTGAGAGTGGAAGCTCTCCCAGGGGAGAACTGTAAATGCTGTGTTGTCCAATGCCTGAAAAAGTACTTGGGACCACTGGTGTCAGAGGCCAAACCCCCATGCAGTTTACAGGCTGTGTATTGTGGACCACAAATAGCATGATTAAGTCATAATTTTCAAGCTTCTCACAGTGTGTTTGATCACCCCTACAGTGGGTTAATCAGCTGAGTGGTCCTTAAATTATGTTGTTGTGCCCTCAGAATCTCATGTTATCCCATGGCTATTTATTATCTTGATGCAGGACTCCTGACCTGTGATTTTATTGGCATCATGCAGAGCTGCCCACCTGGGGTAGAGTTCCCTGTGAAACTTAGAGAGCAGTCCTGCTTTAGCACAGGTATGAGTTAGTCTCCCTTCAGAGAAGCATTTGGCTCAGCTCTAATTAGTCATCGTATATGAGTGCCAAAACAGAGGTGGCTGTGAACATAAATGCTGGATCTGAGAACCTCCAAATGCCAACCTGAATATGAATGGATTGTGCATGCCGCACTCAGTCTAGATCACAGGAAGCATGTATCATCATGAATACACTTGTAAAGAAAATTAATTACTGCTGGAAGAATATGTATGAGAATAAGGTTATCTCAGATACGAGCATTGGAAAGAACATTTTGGAAGAAACTGAATGGATTTGCTTTCTCCTTTATTGTTTTTAATGGAGGGGAAAACCCTAATAAAACATTCTTAAATTGTATTAATGCAAGCTGGAAACTAGCCTGTGGTTTCCACAGCCAGACTCTTAACATTCCTAGTTTCATATATTATGGCAACAGATTTTCAAAACCAGATACAAGAGCATGTGCTTTACTTTATTCTGCAGCTGAGTTGTCCCTGCACAATATTGTCTCTTGATAAGCTGCTTTTGAAAGTACAAATCGAGGAATAAGGAATCCTTTGCATTTTGACCTTTGTATTTGCGGGTACTAACGGCGAAACAAAAGTTCATAAAAATGAGGTGGGCAAAACATGAGCAAGTAGATGCCAGGACATCTCTTACTGGAGAAATTTCCCCATAACACCTTCACCTTGTTATCACCACTTTTGAAACAATGAGAACTGCTGCTTAAATGCACGTAAGGATACGGCCTTGCTCAAATGGATGTAAATCGTATTTGTGACCTCCAGGTGTTCCTTGCTGACGGTGAGTTCAGTCCTGCTGCAAGACTTTAAGCACCAGCAAGGCACTTACACCCGAGCCTAATTTTAAACAAACGAGCAGTCCCAGCAGGGTTTAGATTCTTGTATTTAAGGTGTTTTGCTGGGGCAGGGCCATTCACCTCTCCCTGGGTTGAGCTGTAGATCCTTCGTTTTACTTAGCAGCATCTATGTTTCTGTCACCCAGGGCATCACGCAACAAATCTGAAAAGAAGAGGAGAGACCAGTTCAATGTCCTCATCAAAGAGCTTTGCACAATGCTACAGGGCCACGGCCACCCTCTCAAGATGGACAAGTCCACAATACTGCAGAGGACCATTGACTTCTTACAGAAACAGAAAGGTACTGGAGGGTGCTGGCCTGCTCCTGTTGAAGGCACTGGCTCCACATCTGCCCAGCAGCCAGTTTCCACTCAGGAGATGAAAACTGTTTTTCCCAGAACTCTGGAGAGGACATGAACCTAAGTGAGGGGCAGAATAAGGCAGTCGGCCTAAGGAAATGGGCTAGGTTTGAATACAGTGCTGACCAGTCAAACATAGATATATTTGAAAAAATGTGGTGCTGTATGCTTTTTAATATAGTGACATTGCTCCGTTTCCCTCCGCTGGCACGCTTTGTAGGCTCTCAAACAAAACAGGAGGGGGGAAGAGCTGAGGAACAGCATGTACTACAAAAACCAGAGGAAAAGGGTTTCCATGCCCTGTTCCCAGGTCTCCTGGGGTGGAAGATGGCTGGGTGCAGCCTGTCCTGCTACCTGGGCACTCCCATGAGCCTTCCTGAAACAGCTCCAGAGTCACGGACACCCTCTGTTCACAGTGATGCTCAGCTCCTCTGAAATTAGCCCATTGACCTCAATTTTTGAAGGATTTCTTCAGACCAAAATGTCTCTTCTTCCTTTTCTTGATTTCTAATGCATTTCTATCATGATGGCATGGAAAATGCTGTTGCATACAAGAAGGCTTTGTGTGGAGAATGATCTGAGGATGATTCCTCTGAAAGCCTCTTAAAAGAAATCTAGTGTTACTTGAAAATGAAAAAAAAAAAATCCAACTAGCATGAGTCATGTTGCTTTTTGATGTTTTCTCTTTAAGAAATCACAGCACAGACAGAAGCCTGTGAGATTAGACAAGACTGGAAGCCTTCATTTCTTAGCAACGAGGAGTTCACCCAGTTGATGTTAGAGGTAAGAAGAAATTAAAGCTGCATAGATTAGCGAGAAGTAATCAGTTCAGTGGAGTAGTTTAGAGATATATAGTTCCTTTTCACCTGTAGGTCCCAATGTTAATGTTAATGATTTCTACTCTGCTGGCACATGTAATACAAACCTGACAGAGACGAGTGTTGTGCTAAATGCTTTGCAGACAGACTTAAAAATATGGTTTCTTCCCCTTAAAGATAAACAGCTTTTCATTTAGGAATGAAGACCAATTTGGCCTGGTGAGAGAGCAAAAAGAGAATTGCCCTTCTCAGGAGAGCTGCTAGAGCTAGCAGTTTTAGCAAAAACTTGAAAGGACCCGAAAAAAGCAGTGCAGCACTCTTCCTCCCACATCGCATTAGCCAGGCAGCAAAGTAAAATGCTGCCTTTGCTGCTGCTAGCTGTGCAGTGCTGTACTTGTGATGTGAATGCTGTATCTTTTGCTTGGATTGCCTTTAAGTGCATTCAGGAGAACAGCTCTGATACTCCCACCTCTAAAATGCTTAGCTTATCTAGAAACACCCCGTGAGCCTACATTTTTCCTTTCTTAAGAATGTGGCTTTGGGATTGTGCTGCCTGCTCCTCTGGCAAGGACATTTCCTACCCTGTGTGGGCAGCTGCTGCTCTTTGCCCCACCAAAATAAGGGTGTATGCTGGGCTGAGCTGGGAGGTGCTGCAGTGTCTTAGTTATTCCTTTTCATCAGGATGTCATGACTCACCTCCCTGGAAAAGTCTGTTCATTCTTTCTGGGAATTTCTCTCACCACATGAGCTAGTTTGTTCCAGCTGAAGCAAAGCAAATTCCCCCCTTAGAAGTGACAGGGGAGAGAAAGCCCTTTAATAACTGTTGGCTTTCTGGACTGTTAGACCATTGACCAGTTTACTTAAAATCAGTGTTTTTTTCCAGAGAGGGCTTATTTTCAGCAAAGGCAGATTATAACAGTAGAGGTGGTGAAGGTGGTAGATGCTGCATCTTTGGCTCCCTGTAGCTAAGCTGCAGAGCAGCCTAACGGTGTCTTTCGAAGAATTGGCTTTGAGCACAGTGCTGACCAGAGGTTAAACCTCCCAGATCTTGGTAAGTGTTTGAGAAGAACAGGGACGGACACTGGGTCAACGGTAGAAGATGTTGTGAAGAGCAGGAAGAACACCCAAAGTCACTGCACATGCAGTGACACAAAAGGGACAGAGAACTTCGACTCTGGGAGAGAAACTATTGTGAATAAGTAGGCGGAAGCAAAACAAACTTTAAAATTGTTGTGTCAGTAGCCTAACAAATGAGTGCTTTAAGCAAAATAGATAAGGCTTTAGATCTTGTCCCTGTTGTCCATAAATTGCTAAAAATACAGCATTGTATAATTTTTCTGTCTCTGCTTATCTGTCCATCCATCCATCCACAATGCTGGGTTTGCCATGATGATATCTAACATCTCCTTACGTACCGAATTGGTTAACTATTGTGTAATTCAGAACACATAATGAAGTGACTGAAGTCACTGGGATTGTGTGGGTGTAGAAATTCTAACCACCACTGTCTTGCTTCATGTTAAATAAGTACTGGATGAAAAATACAAGTCAATTTAGTATTAATGAGCAAATCAGAATATAAGAAGAGCGTTGAATTAGACAGCATGTGTAATTTTTATTTTTCCGCATTGAACTATCATTTCCATAATTGATTTATGTTAGTTTTAGGCTGTTAGAAGCATCATCAAAGAATAAATTAGCCTATTGTATTTTAAGTTGTTCCCTTGCATAATTCTTTTTATTTTTTTTCTTTTTGCCTGCCTTTTGTCATTAGGCACTAGACGGCTTTCTCATTGCTCTTACCACTGATGGGATTATTATTTATGTATCTGATAGTGTTTCGTCTCTGCTTGGACACTTACCGGTAAGTTCTGACGACGCAATATGTTGAAGAATCATTCCCCTGCCTTAACACAGCCCCATCACTGCAGGACTGGGGATTGGCTTTGTCCGACCAAAGAGGCAACTGACTGTGGCGAGGGGGATAAACCAACAAACTCTTAGGGAGTTTCTCAAGCTCCTGTGAATAACAGATTATCACTCAGGATCTGAGAGTTAGCTAAAAAAAAAGGATGCAAAGTCACTGTACTCATAGCTCACCACTTGGCTCCATGTCTGAAGGATGGTCTGGGTGGTGTTTATCCCACCAGGTATATGGAAAAGCTCATGCTTGTGAAATCTGTGCAAGCTGAAGCTCTTTTCATATAATTTAAAAATTATTTCAGGACTGAATCTATGTTCTTCTAATGACATTGGGTTTTTCTACTTTCAGCCCATGGTCTTCCGTAACAAGTATGTGGCCTCAGAGTTTTCTGGGAGAATTTCTAGAGATCAGTTAGCTGTTGGGTGCAGAAATTTCTGATGGCCCCTCAAAAGCATTTTTTATTTTTGTCTGGTGCCAAGCATGAGGCACCAGTGATGCTATATGAGAGCAAATATGAGCACACAGTTAACCTGGCTGAATGTCCCGGTGTGCAAAGAAACAAATACATGCTGACACTTTGGTAGAACCCTTTTAGTCAGGATGTGTGGGTTTATCAGCACTGAAACACTTGCAGGTTGAGCTGATTTTGCCAGATGTTCAATCTAGAAGACAAATGGAGGATATGAGGAGGAGCTCTCCCACTTCTGTCTCATGATTCCAAAGGGAAATGTTTCAAATTTCTATTTTGATATGATTCTCATCATGCTGTATGCCTGTGGTAGCAGGGATTCTTCTCCAGCCTGCATCTGGCTGAACTGAAGGGCAACCTCTGGGACCCGTTCAACCTTTTGCAAATAGATGACAGCCCTGGGGTAAAATAACCTAGGGGTTGTATTCTACTCTAGATCCATCTGCAGATTGACTGGGCTTCCTTGTCTTAAGCATCTGTGCTAGACTGGCAGTGTCTGTGCTCTGCTGTGGGATGAAAAGGCATGTGGTTGTGTCAGGCTGTACTGCTGAACATGACAAAGCATTCTTTTGTATCAGTCAGATTTGGTGGACCAAAATATATTAAACTTTCTGCCTGAGCGGGAGCAGAGCGAGGTGTACAAGCTCCTTTCTCCACATGTGCTCATGACAGATCCTGTTGCAGCTGATTTTCTAAATGGTAAGCTCTGCTCTTCTCTGTCGGTCAGGGAAATTTGCCAAAGGCAAACAGCTCCCTGGGGGAGCCTGCACAGGGCTCTGCAGCTATTTAATTCTCCTGCCTGCCACTTCTGTTTCGCCACGGTTAATATTTCTGGTTTTTAATGCAGCACATCATCTAATGTTCCTACATGCTCCCCATACTTGGTCTTTGATTTGTACAGTCTTTATTTTACTGTCTGCTTTGCATCATAGGACAGTGAAATTGCCCTCGTTCGATATTTTTCCCAGGGTGGGATGCTGGACTGAGCCTGTGAAAGGAGTGAGGGGCTTGGGGGAAGGAGAAGGGTAGGAGAAATCCCAAAGGGTTTTGGCAGAGTCTTTGTTCCTTAGGAAGCTTACATGTCTCAGGACACCTAAGAATCCCTACATGTAATTGAAGCAAAAGCCTTCCTGTCTGAACAGTTCATCCAAATCTCTACTGCTGGCTGCTGTCCCACCCCCAAAATGTCCCTTTCCCCTAGAAAACATCCCCAGCACCAGACTGGGCAGCAGCATCTTCCTAACATCCATGTTTTACGAAGTCTGTGTTGGGACCCCCATTTCCCGATGGACTTACCATGGCTGGGCAGTGCTAGCCTCCCCTCTACTGCCCCATAAGCACCAGTGGGAACTGGGCAGCCCTCATGCTGGTGCTCTGCCCAGGGGTTGGTGTCCCTCCGGCTGACGACTGCATGGTCTAATCCATGGAGTTCAGACCTCAGGCAGAAAACTGGGTAAGAGCTTGGCGCAGTGCCCTCCGCTGTTAATGGGAAGGCTTAGGGTGACTTCAGTGCCCTTTGGATCTGGGTCCTACTGAGCAGTGCCAGAGCAAAGTGCTGCAACGTCACTTAACAGCTTTGCATGAAATCGTGCGTGCACCAGGTCAGGGGAAAATACCACTGACGGACATCGCCAGGGCTTCACACCCAGCGTAATGGGGTGGCTGAAAAGCCATGGGAGAAAGGGCAGAATGCATTCCCTTAAGCAGAACCAGATGATCAATGCTCGTAGTAGTTATATATTTACTTAGGGATATCAAGAGCATCGCAGCAGGGTGTGCTCAGATACCGCAGCAGCAGGGTTGGTACAAGCACCTAGATAGATTCGATATGTGGAGTGTGCTAAAGTGCAGACTATTAGTAATGTTGTGTATGTCTCCCTCTTTTTTTCTCATTTCAGCAGAAAAACAAGTAGAGTTTTGCTGCCATTTAGCAAGAGGCAGCTTAGATCCAAATGAACCCCTGATGTATGAATATGTGAAATTTGTAGTGGATTTTAAATATTTTACTCATGGTAAGTTACTGCTCCAGCCTACTTTTACCTCTCTACCTCTCTCCTTTAAATTGTGTGTTGATCTGTAGCCTCCTAAATGCCTTGTTTCAGCTGAAAATGCCCCATAATCAGCAGGGATGGAATGAGCTGTGGATACGTTGGGGATACTTTTCGTATAAAAGGGGAGGCTGTTGGTCAGAAAGGTGCACTCTTCTGCATGCTATGCTTAAAGAAGTGATTACCAGACTGATCCTACCTCTATTTGACCCACTGCCAATTGTAAAGCAGCCTACTTATTCAAATAAGCAGTAAAATATGCTATTCTGTTTCACTTGTGGCAATCAAATGACACTTTTTAAAGATTAAGTAGTTTGAGAAACCTGTAAAATCTTGAATCTTGCAAATGTTGAGCTGGAGAAAGGCTGACAAGGAGACTGTAGCTGCACACTGTGAGCTGCTCAGAGCTGTCTTATGAAGCTTCCCTGCAAGCCAGGGGTAGGTGGTTACAGCTGTGTAACTCGGAGCCTAAAGGGTCATGCTTTAAATAACATCAGTGTGTATCAGTGTGGCATCACCTTGTGGGTAAGAGGAGTTTGTTGCTTGGGTTTCATCAGTCATTGTACCTGTCTCAACATGAAAAGAAAGCTCTCCTTCCTCTTCTTCTTAAATAAATTGTCTGGTTGTGTCTAGTGCCTACACCCTCCTGTAATGGCTTTGAGTCAGCTATTGCACGAGCTTTCAGGTCAGCCACGGAGGAGCAGATTTGCCTTGTAGCAACTGTTCGTCTTGTCACACCGCAGTTCTTAAAGGTGAGAGCTCTGCGACTGCATCTTCCCTTTCGTGCGGGGATCGGCCGGTGCTCAGCGGCAGAGCTGCTGCTGGTACCGTGAGCCGTGTGCTGGGCTGTTGGGCGGGGAGCTGCGTGGCAGCAGCCTCTCAAAGAGTACGTTCAGCAGCACGGGTTGTTTGTGCAGGGGGTTCGTAAATGAGAGAGGACACCGCTGTGTTTGGGAGTGGGAGATGACATAAGTATGTATTTTGGAATGACGAGGTGTGAAGCAGGAGCCGCTTTTGAGAAGAGGCGCTTGTGTGACGGGCTGCCTTAGAGCAGTCAGCCCAGGAAGCGCCAATACAAGGTGACCAGCTAAACTGCTTGAAAAGTTTCAGACTTTAAAGAAACGCATCCCACTGCTGCTTCGTGTAAGAAGGCCACCCCCATCTTGAAAGACTCTGAACACCGTCTTTCGTGGACTCTTTCTGCTGCTCTGTAAGCGTCCGGTGGCGCAGCGCAGTGATGACAGGGATAACGACTGTAGGTGCACTTTGCTCAAGAGAGCATTAGCCAGCTCGGTTTGAGGCTGGACCTGGTGCTTTCATCCATCTTCAGAGACCAATATTTACAAAAAGCTGGAGAATTTTGCCTACAGACTGCAAGATGAGGCCCTTGGACTGTTTATCCTAGCTCTGAAATTCAGCCCAGGGTAAATGATTCAGGCACTTTTCATCAGTTAATGCATCTATAAAACAGGGCTTATACATTCCTTAGAGGAAAATAAGTCAAGTGCTTTAAAAGCATTGTATTTTGCTAGGCTTTGTTATACCAACAAGATGCATCCATGGTCTTGATAGAGTGCTCCTTTTATCATTTCATAGAATTAAATGTCGGAATGTGCCAACTGTTTTGCAGGAGCTCTGCAATGTTGAAGAGCCATGTGAAGAATTTACATCGAGGCATAGTTTGGAATGGAAGTTTTTATTCTTGGACCACAGGTAAGAGATTTGGGGTTAGTCACTGAAGGATAAACAAGCTATAGTGTAGAAATAGAAAACTGTACCTGAGATCCCAGGTAGAACAGCTCTAATTAAATGCAACTAAGTAATAATACTCTGAACTTACTTTTTAGGCATCCTTAAATGCTTTGCTCTTTTCCATATTTTAGGCAGGTGAGAAACCATATAAAATGGTGGGAAAAGGTCTAGAAAAATGTCTTAACTTCACCAAGATATTAAGTCATTAGTACTGAGCAGTGTGGGTTCTGTTCCCTGTATTAGTTTAACTCATGTTTTCCAGCTACAGCCTCCAGGAATCCTTCTAAATCTTTTGCCATGTCAATAAACTTTTGATTTTCACCTTGAGAAATGATGGAATTTATAAAAATAAAAGAAAAAGCAGTGGATTAGATAATTTAATTGCAGATTTGTTTTTTGACAATGCCATACGGTGGGCTAGGATTCAGCTTTCTGAATGAAACAGACTGGGACCACTTTATTAAGCTGATTAATATAGGATCCTTCAAAAGAAGCTGGAGGGGTTTTTTCACTCTTTTACTTCTCTGTGTTTGACATGTATGCATAAGCACATTGCAAAGTCCTACCCTTTCCATTATCTCTCCCTATGCAAGCTGTGCACAGGTAGTCATTACTGCAAATAGAAGACTACTAAATAATACTGTA